CAATAGGGGGTTGAAAGAAAAACCTTGAAATAGCAAGGAAGAAAAGAAAAGGAAAGGAAAGGAAAGGAAAGAAAAGAAAAGAAAAGAAAAGAAGGAAAGGAAAGGAAAGAAAAGAAAAGGAAAAAAGAATGAAAGAAAAGGAAAAAAAGAAAGAATAAAAAGATAATAATTTCCAAATACATTAAATAAATGGCTGATCAGACAAGAACCTTCATATTTACCAAACATTAAACATTTTCATTTGTTCAGCCTGACTTTTTATCCTGAAATACAAACAGCAATGAATTCTAGGTCACTTGGCCAAAATACGTTTACTTTTTAATCTGAAATCTGACAGCTTTGCAAATCATTTCATGGTGAATGTATATATTTAGCCAAGAACAGAAGGAAAACGTTTCTATTCCTGCCGCTAGAGTCGAGAGAATTGATCTACAAAATTTTTATGATTAATTGTAAATCGTTTCTAAATATATGTTTGTTTTGACTAGTGGAGAAACGATTTCTGCTTTATCTATATACACCCAAAGGATATTTATTCTTTTTTTTTTTATTATTAATCTATTTGAGTGTGGTTTTTGTTTTCGTTTTTTTTTTTTTTTTTTTTTTTTTTTTTTTTTTTCTTTTCTTTTCTTTTTTTTGCTGAGTTCAATGGGCGACGCTTGCTAATAGTTTTGGTGAATGAAATTGCGAACTTCCCCTAAGACTTGTTGACCTTAAATAATGATCAAGCTATCAAGGAAAACAGAGTGAAATTCAACAAAATTAAATAATTGATGCTGAGTAACAAGCCATGCAATTTATGTCAAGCTATAGACATGTTTCGCTAAAACCTCTTTCAAGTAAACCTTTAAGTCGTGTGCGTAATGATTAGAGGGTTGGACTGTTATTTCGCTACTTGATGAGCGTGGGCTGATTATGCTCATGAGTATGTCAATGGACAAAAAAGAAAGGACCAAATAGACTAAACATCAAGACAACCTTTAACTCGTGTGCGTCAAATGTTAAGGTTTAATATGATTAAAGGGTTGGACTGTAATTTCGCTACTTGATCAGCGTGGGCTGTTTTATGATCATGAGTATGTCAATCGGGCAAAAACGAAACGACCAAATAGACTAAACATCAATATTAAAAGGCGCTGAAACAACCTCTGGGCTGGTCTAAGCAAGGGCATCTAATTCTTCAGTTTTGTTTTGCTTTTTTCTTCTGCAGAAGTAGGGCTTAAGCCCCCTTTTTGACCCCCCCCTTCCCCCGGATCCGCGCTTGCTAAGTCAGGGCATGGCTAACTCACAGATTGAATTACCCTGAAACAACCTCTGGGCTGATCTAAGCCAGGCTGTTTGAATTGGAATTTTTGTAGGCCGTTGTCTGCAGATGCGCAGTAGGTATTGATCGTAAGTAACGAATTGAATGTATGTTTGCTTTCCCAGAAACCGGTTTAACTGGTAAAACTAGCTCCAAGAACAAAAGAAAACGCTGTGGATCTAGAAGATGATATACAGACCACCTACAACTATATGCTGATCGTCTTAGTAAAGAGTCTAAAAGGTTTTAATCTAAACTTTCTTTACACAAAACGTCTTCCAGGAAGTGTATTAACACCCCCCGAACGAAGCATTAGTCTAGGGAAAGATTAATTAAGTAGTAGTTGGGCTTGATCGAAAAGCTTCACTGGTAATTGGGGTCGAAACTGAAGATTGATTGAAATATTATATAAACTGAAACTACACTAAAAGAAGGAGGATTATCAATAACTCTGTAACGAGATGGATTCATATAAAAGCGTCTTCTATAATAGCTATAGAATAGGACAATAAGACTTCAAGTATCTGCAAACAACCCGTTACGTTAATGTATCCTGGAGTAAGAGTGGAGTGCTCATCTGTTAAATGCGTCAGGTTTTAGATCTTTCAATTCGACATTTGGTGTCCTTGAACAAGTTGGTAGAAGACTGACCTGAAGATACACTACCTTTTAATGGATTTAGCATTTGTTTAATATAGAACCTATACGTCGACAGATCAGTCAACTCGTTTTATCGACAAAACAATATATCAGTAGTGATTTTACCAGTGGAAGAAAATTTATTCGCTCTTTACTTAGGATCGCAAGTTCTATACTTTATATAATTGGAAGTCCTCTTTCCAAATTGAAGCACGCGTTCTCAAAAGGGAAAATATCAACTATGCATCTGTTAATAAACAAATTTCAAGCTTTCGCAAGATAAATACAGAACAGGTTAAATCAGTTGCTTCCCAGAAGAAGACGTTTATCATCATCATCGCCTTGACCGAGATTTATACCGGTCTGAATCGAGTAAATTTAATCGTAAAGAAACAGGACGACGATTAAGATTGGTACAAGGGTTTCCGCCTTTCAAATAACTGCCTTGAGGAACTGATTATTGACCACAATATAAGAAAGTGGTTAATTGCTGTAACTAACTTGAAAAGCGACGACTCTGGAGTCAGATCGTTTTTCGACAAATTCTACTCGTTCTGAGATAGATATACGTTTACAAGAAACTTTTTAAAAAGACTTGGTTTCATTAGCCGCGCAGTCCTTCATCGACGGTTTTCACTCAAGGGAGCCTCTCACTATTCAAATATTACCAGTCTGCAATAGTTTTATTGGCATCGGTCGATGAACAACCCCATTGGTAACGCACCAGCAGTTTTCACTCAAGGGGACTGATCAGTATTCAAATTACCAGTCTGTATTAGTCTTATTGGCATCGGTCGGTGGTCGGCTCCACTGGACGTAACGCAGGTAACACACAAACCATTGGTAACGCCCCAAAAACTCAACCCTTGACGTAATATATGTAACGCAACAGTATCAGTAACGTAACGTAACGGTTACGACTTGTGACGAACCGGTAACAAGGAAATCAACCACTCCTAAAGAGCCTGTAACGCATTGATAACGCAACGATATCGCACTGGTAACACAATAGTAACGCAAGATAACGTGTGACGCAACAGTACTAGTAACGTAACGGTTACGACTTGTGACGAATTAACGGTAACAAGGAAACCAAGCACTCCTAAAGAGCCTGTAACGCATTGATAACGCAACGATATCGAACTGGTAACACAACAGTAACGCAAGGTAACGAGGGAATCATTGATCAACCGGAAGGGATATCGCTAGTCGTCAATGGATGGGAACCAGAGTGACCTGTGTCACTGTGTTGATTGGGAGAAGTCTTATGACCCTGCACCAGTGCACCAAGTATATTGGAGCTACATTTTCACGTGTGTCGTGACAGTCACGTTGTCCATGACAACTACAATCCTAAACACTTTGGTGATTGCGGCGATTTATCAAACGAAGAGCCTTCACACGCCTTCAAACATCTTGCTATGTAGTCTAGCGATGTCTGATTTAATAGTTGGTTTCCTGGCCCAACCGTTGTACACCACCGCTATTATTATGGAAATCAAGGGTGACGTTAAAGTATATTGCGTGACCGGTGCTGTCACGGCATTTGTATCATACACATCAGCAGGAGCTTCGTTATTCACACTAGCCGCCATTAGTGTCGATCGTTATTTTGCAATTCATCGACCACTAAGATATCGAGCTGTGGTGACACCCAGTGCGGTTGCCATGGTTGCATTAGCGCTTTGGATTATGGGAGCGACTGGGGCGTCAACTCGTTTGTACCTCTCCGTGACACATTTCATGTTTTCTCTTGCTTTGGTCATGCTTATCTCACTCATAACAATCTTTTCAGCTAATCTGAAGGCTTTTCGTTCGTTGAAAGCCCAAAAAGCGCTGATTATCCAAAAAATGCAGTTGCATCGCGGACAGGAAGAGGTCAAACTCGCTCAGTCCCGAAAATACCTCGTGACAATGTTATACATTTTGGGATTAGTGTTGTTGTGTTACGTTCCTTTTGTGTCTGTCACGCTTGTCACGGCTATGTATGGCGTGACGAGTAGCACTCGTGCAGCTTGGAACATTGCAGACACTATTGGTTATATGAACTCAACTTTGAACCCGTTTTTGTATTGTCTGCGCATGCGCGAGATTTCTAACGCAGTGCGCAAGATTTTGCGCAAATATTGTTGTAGGCATTTCAGAAATAACCAGGTTGAGCTAGTTAAGCCAGTTAGTCAAGGCACGGTGAAAAGGAGCAAGAAGGAGTTATCAACAATTTATGAAGAACCACAAATTTCCATGACAATTGCTTAGAGGGGCGTTTATCAACTACGCGTGACGCTATATCGACATTTCGATGTCACGCAATAATCAGTCAATCTTAATCTTGAGCTAAATCAAAAAGAAATAAAGTACTGAATGTTTATCGATTTTATTAATGTTTTTCTCTTAATGTTTTCTCATGCCGAGATTAAATAAACTAGGTCCAAAAATAGAACCTTGAGGAACTCCAGACAATATGGAACATCATAACATTAAATGAATTCGTGAGTATTTATCGTAAAAAGAAAGTTATTGAATGTAAAAATGCAAATTAGTTATAAATAAGGAAATAAAGTTTAATATATCTTGACCAGTAACTTTAATAAATGAAAAATAATAAAACGCCCAATTCATCTAGTTCCAGATTCTTTTGATGTTCTCCCATTTCTGTCGACGTTTAAATCCTTCGTTTGTTTTTGCACCAGAAAATCTTTATAAAGATTAAGATACTTGCATATAAATCACCTCAATAACATATTTTGAAGATCCAGTCAAGGAAAGTTGGCCATGATTTTCTAAGATACGAAGACTTTGACTTTGGGATCCCTGTGGTAATCTTAGCCGGGCGCCATTTTTGAACTGTTATTACAAAATGGCGGCCAAAACAAGAAGACGATTTGAAGACAAAACAAACGTTTTTTGGACCAAAGATCGTATCCTTTAAACAATATACAAACAAAAATACGAAATATAACTTTATTTGCTTCGATAGTACTCAAAAATCTGTTAATTTGTAGCGTTGATTTTAAAATTTTTCGACAAATTTTACCCGGATTGAAATCAGCTGAAAGTTTAGATTAGCTTTTTTATCTTTCAGAAGATAAGCTTACGTATTTTTAACTTTAGAAATGCAGTTTGGTAATGGACTATTTAGGTCTCCACAATCGTGAAGGTGATCCTCTAAGGTTTTGAAAGAAATTCCTACGGCTCACTGAATACTTCTAACTTATTTTTTCCTTAATTATATGGTTATAAGCTGAAGTATCAGACAACCAGATCGTTAAAGTACATATTCCTGGTCAGTATACGACTAATAAAATACCTTGAGCTTGCTCCTTTTTCCCATCACAGTAAATACCAACCATTATTTCAGTTCTAATTTTATATAGTCCTCTTTACCTTGGATGTAATGTTTTCTCATTTCAGACCATATGTCATTCCTTGAGAATAAGATTCTTTGTTTGAGTGGCATACATATTCTTTTGTCTTCTCATGCACTTATAACTGTTAAAAGAAAAACAATTTTTGTAATTCAGGAGTTAGCTTGGATGCAGCACTAAACATCAAACAGCCAATGGTCAAGAAGCCAGTTAAACATAGAAAACCACGCATAGCAACATTGCAGCAGGCCTCAGGAATGTCATCAAATTGTTTGACCAGCAGGGGTGGGGTGGGGATGATAAGAAGGAAAGTCAACCATGAAATTGATACAATACCTACTCGTGAAGACCCAACTGCATCAGGTTAGCAGACTTTGTGAGCAGTTTTTACTATGTGGCAGACTCCAAGAAGAACTATTTGGATATGATAGAGTTAACCAACCACAACAGTCCCTTTTCTCATTCCATAAATAACTGCTGTGTTTAAAGACTGAAGACTCATCTCCGCAGGCTTAGCCTCGCTTAAGAGTAAATCATTTGCAAATGTCAACTTTAATGTAAAGAATGTGCAGCTTGAACGATACCAATGTTTTGAAATTTAATGGACTTTTAATGGTATCTGTGAAAAGCTGACTTATAAACAAGGCTAAGCCTGTGCAAATGAATATGTGATCTTCAAAGACAGCGGTATGCATCGAATGTGAAACTGGTGTATTAAAAACAGGGGTTTTGAAGTTTTGAAATGATAGGAGAAGGTTAACATTTTACTGATTACCAAGCTAAAAATGGTAGTTTAAGCTGGAGAATATTGCTCATTTACTAGGTAATGTAGCTCAAAAGAAGACCAGCTTGAAAGACCTAGGACCAGAAGACAAGAAACGAGTTGCAAACCTTGTCAAAGAGTTGGCAAAAGTTGGCGAAGAACGAGAAATAGCACTAACACAGCTTACACAAGAGAGAATAGCATTTGAGGAACGATTACAAATACTTCAAGAAGAATATGACAGCAATATCAAAGAAAAACTTAGTATCCTTTGAGTATTACATGAAATGACAACTTACATTACCAATGTACCATACTGGATTGGGGCTTCCTGTGGTTTAGAGTACACAGGTAGCCCAAATCGAGCCTTTTTATTTCCTTGACATTTTATTAAGATTTACAAAGTCGGTTTTTGGAGCTTCAAGGATTATTAAAGAAATATAATAAACATGGAACTGATAAAAATAAAGATACCTCTAGTAGTGGTAATATCAGCGTAAGTATTCTAAATTCAAGGTGTTAAGGACAGCTATTAACCTTCTGGGCTCCCTGTGAAGATTACTTTCCAGTAGATTTCAGACCTCCCCCTTACTTCTACCACAGGAAGCCCACAAGAAACAATTTCAGTGAAAACGAGAAACAAGAAAAAAATTGTATTATACTTACAATCTATTTATAAAATTACTTGTTTTTATTTCTTTTTTGGTAATTGTAGCGCACAAACCACATGACCCAGACATCTCCTGGACTAATACCATCACCTGAAGATGTACCAGGAAATGTCAGGCAATCAGCTGGCCAGACTAAATCACCTTGCAAGACAATAAAACAATCAGGACTAGAAGATGGTTCACACAATTTGATAGCTGACAGTGGATGCCAATTCCCTTCACCCACTAAAATGTCCAGGCAATCAACACCACTGCCTGGAAAACCAGAGGGTGATAGAAGCTTGGTGCTTCCTGGAAATGGTATTGCAGGGTCTGAAAAGGGAAGTGCATCAAATAATAAGGGAATCGTAGAGAATGATTCAGTTGTGACTGGAAATGGTACTTCAAGCTTTGATAGGTCCAGATCAAAAAGAGAAAGTGCTCAAAGCAGCAAAATTCTTCCTGGTAAAGTTACAACTGGGGTACCACAAATTGCCAGCCATCAGGAAGCAGCAGGTCTAGACTTACGGCAAGGTTCACTATCTGTGCCTGGAAGTTCTGCTGGTAACCATGTCACAAGGCCTGCAGTCCTTACAGAGATACCTACAAGCCAACAAGAGGTTGCGCACAGTGTTCCTGGAAAAGCTGGCAATGGTGCTCTTGACCAGGAAATTGGAAATAATTTACCAAGTTACCACTTTCTTGGAAATGCCCCACCTTCTTTAAGGTAAAACTGGTTTTAAACCTGTTTCCATTTTGTTTCTCCTCTTTAATATAATTCTTTTATCTTTAGAAGCCAGTGGCCTCCTGTGTACCGTCATCCTCCCCCTGTATCCTCGGAGCATGACCCCCCTGTCTATGCCAATAGAATGTTTGATGTGTCCGTGACACGGCCCGATGTACTAAGACAAGCAACAGTGACAACTAACAGGTATATAGGACATACTTGCGTGATGGAAGTATTACAATGCGTGACCAAGGCTGTCACGAGTAAGATTTCCAATTTCAGGCCACGTGTCATTCCCTAGAGTACAATTTCTTTGTTTAACGGTTGCACATGAGAAGACACATAAATATGGATACGACTCAAACAAAGAATCTTATTCTTAAGACCACGTGTCACTCCCTAGAGTATCATTTCTTTGTTTAACGGTTGCACATGAGAAGACACATGAATACGGGCACAACTTAAACAAAGAATCTTATTCTCAAGAGAATGACACGTGGTCTAAAATGGAAAAACATTACGCCAAAACCAAAAAGGTCTATTCAGTTCAATTCAATTCAATATTATTTCCACTGAATAATAGAAAATTGTGATTACAAAGTAGATCATTGTTATTACATAGATATTTACACACTTTAAGTAAAAAGAAAATAAGAATACTAATTGTAGACGACTCCAAAAGTACCATGAGCTTTCGAGTTGGGAGTCGTAATCGTCTTCCCCTTCTTTCTCTCTCCTTGTAGGTCGCAGTCAGACACTTCACAAAGCTTCTCTGCAGAATTAGACGCTGTGTATCGCTTGTACTGTCGAGAGTACGAACTACAACTACAGTTACAACAGCAACAACTAGAACTACAAAAACAACAACTACAGCTACAGCAACAGCTACAACAGTTAGAGTACTTTCAACAAAGACAACAGCAGCAACGTCCTACGAGTTCCATTGAGGAAATGGTAAGAAACCTTGTTTTTGGTTTTAAAAAAATAATCCAATGTTTCCATTTAGTATTCAGGGTTAGGGCTAGTGATAAATAAATCTGGCCCGCTCTTTGGTCACGATTGAAGTCTTATGCTGTTATATTCAACTACAGGTGGATATAGCGCGCACGCGCACGCTTGTTTGTTGATGTGTGCCGTCTGCAGAGATAAATAAAATTTGACAAGAAAAACATTTTGTCCGTTGTGAAATAAGATATATATGTGAATATCGGGGGAAATGCACTTGTGTTAAAAATACTAAGAATCCCGTTTCGGTAAATTTTCCTCGACATTCGCGTAAATCTAAATCTAAATCTTGTTAAAAATGCCTCGTGTCAAAGTATATCAGGATAAGACCTCAATTTTGATCATTGATCATACTGAGTTTGCGTGTTGAGTAACATACGTCACGTCACGATGGTTTCAGTTTTAAAACGCATCCCACATGGAAACGAGCGCTTACGGGTGCTAGATGATGAGGGTCACAAGCGACGTATCGGGTATACTGGTCATAGCAAGGGGTTAATCATCTACGGTCTAGGGACCGACTAACCTCTCCCTTAGGCTTCGGCAGAGCTTCCTGATCTGTCTGTAAGTCCTCGGATAGCGGTGTCAGGGTCGAAATCTCCGGCGTAGCCGTAAATGCTTCGCGCTGCCATACGACGGTTCAGCACTCGATGTCTGGAAGTATGGTCCTAAATTTACAAATCAATAGAATAGAAAATAATCCAAAAATATTGAAAAATAATCATTTCCGAGTAGAAAGTGAGAGTGCGCAAGCACTTTTTTGGAGACGGTTGGATTCTGGTTGCCTTTATTTTGGACTAGACAATTTTAAAACAAAATTCATCGTTTTATCTATAACCGATAGCCAAAGTCGTCATCAAAAACCGTCATCAGAGAAACACCTGACCCTACCCCAGCCCCCCAGCCAGAGGCTCAACCACAATGGGCATCATCTATGAGTAACCTGGTACCAACTCCAGACGAGACGTACGAGAGCCACCGAGGACAGTCGTCTGTGTCTTATCATCAGGATAATGAGTATCGTGGTGATGAAGATGAAGGAACTGAAGGGGACAAAGACAGCAGGACTATTAGGAGAATAACAAGCTCGAAGAGGTTGGGTGGTACCTTCTTCTTCTTGTTATTGACCCTTTTCCTTCCTTCCTTTGTTCCTTCCTTCCTTCCATCCATCCTTCCTCCTTCCATCCATCCTTCCTTCCTTCTTTCTTCCATCCTTCCTTCCATCCTTCCTTCCTTCCTTCCTTCTTTCCTTCCTTCCTCCCCTCATTATCACTTCCTTCCTTCTTTCCCTCCTTCCCTCCTTACCCCTGTCCCTACCTTATCTTTCTCTGTCTTTGCTTTTTTCATTCTTTCTCCATTCCTATTCTTCCTTCCTTCTTTNGAAGGGGACAAAGACAGCAGGACTATTAGGAGAATAACAAGCTCGAAGAGGTTGGGTGGTACCTTCTTCTTCTTGTTATTGACCCTTTTCCTTCCACCTTCTTCTTCTTGTTATTGACCCTTTTCCTTCCTTCCTTTGTTCCTTCCTTCCTTCCATCCATCCTTCCTCCTTCCTTCCATCCTTCCTTCCTTCTTTCTTCCTTCCATCCTTCCTTCCTTTCATTCTAACTTCCTTCCTTCCTTCCCTCCTTCCCTCCTTACCCCTGTCCCTACCTTATCTTTCTCTGTCTTTGCTTTTTTCATTCTTTCTCCATTCCTATTCTTCCTTCCTTCTTTCAATATTTTTTCTTTCAATGTTTATTTTTTCTTTATTTATTTATCTATCTATTTATTGATTGATTGATTGATTCACAGGCCAAAAGCAAACTCAAGCAGAGAACGAAACGTTCAATCACACGAAGGCAGTTACACATCAACCAATCACAATCGCGTATCAAGATCACGTGACAATCCATCCATGTCCCATCATTCATTGCAACCTTCAGGAGAACGAGGATTTGATGAATCGTCTCGGGGGGTCAACAAAGAGATCATCAAACCGGAAGAAGCATCTCATTTCCGGTTCTCTCTTCATAGCTCTTCCTCTCTCCATCCTTCCCAAACACAATCCATTCCTCATTCCACAAGACTGGAAAATCAAGTTGATTGGACAAATGCAACAGATTTCGAGTTCCGTCAGTTACAAGAAAGCAAAATCCGTGAACATTATGGACTAGGTCAGCGTTCTGTCCACTCAACCCAGGTTCTACTCGATCCTTCAGAACCGAGGGTTACTGGGGCGAGATACAATTTGTATGAATCAGCAACAGTTGCAGAACCAGTAGGCAGTATAACCAACAAAGACCATCAAGTTCTGCAGGGATACACTGGATCAAGTATAGACAGACACCCACATGGTACACGGACAGACAGACAGTACCTTGCTCAACAAAACAGATTTGATGCAACAGCACCAGATGACATCAGTGAACGAGAACTTGAACAAAGAACTTTACAAAATTTTTCTTTGTATGAAAATAGGGCCAATCAATTTAAGGGGGCAAGTTGTGGAGCTGGTTTCTATGGTGACAATAACCATGGTGATCATCATGAGGACATTGAGCCTTGGGTATCTGAGAGCAGCGGCTTTCAGAGAGATGCAAGGTACAGAAGCTTGGTTTATAATTTGAAAATTTAGAAGAAAAACTATAAATTCTTTTCCTTGTAACCTGCCTAAAGCGACCACCATTTTCTAAAATAGAGGCTGCCAGAGTTAATAGGTTAAATCATTCTATCATTTCTTTTTCAGTCGCTCCCTTGAACTAAACTATCCACCTCAGATTATTGACCTCGTAGAAGAATTAGAAGACGAACCAACAATACCTCCTTACTCCAGTAAACCAAATTATACTGTCTACCTCAGTCCTCCACGACAGGAAACAGCTGCACAGAACGGTGGCCTGGACTCTACTGATTCTGGATTCTCAAATTTGTCACGTGAGAAAAGTCCAATGATTTATTCTCATCAGGGCTCGGAAAATGAAGCTGACATTGAGGAATTGAGTGTGCTTGAGGATATATTCTTCATTTAGTTAGAAATCATGAGCAATTAGTGGTATGTACCACAGGTAGCCCAAAGAAAGACATTTGTTCTCTCCAAAACTTTATTTACATGTACAATAATTGTTTTTAATAACAGAATAATATTAAATAATTATATGTGTTTGATCATCATGTTATTTTTGATTGTTCATAAGGGTTTTCTTACAACGAAGAAAACACTCTCGTAGTTCATCTTCAGCATTGATTGACAGTTCTCCACGTAACCTGAAGAAACTTTCGTTTGCTCCTTCTAAAAAGAAACGAAAATATAAAACCTCTGTAAATATACCAGATACTTACTTTATGTACAAATAAAAAACTTAGCAAATCTACTATACTTTCTGTGGTATGTCATGAAATAAGGCAAGGACAAATGAGCCTTTTCTTAGTTTGATAAACATGATGCACTGTGGTCTTGATTGGGTACAAACAACACCATGCACATGCTGAAGCACATGTGTAGTTCAGCCTTAAAGGGCACAAATACTCCAACTTACCAAAAGCTCAAATTTGAAGTCCTTTGTTATAATTCTTTTAATATCTTCGTAACTGAGGTCTATGGACATTTCGTTAGGCATGCCAGAAAAATGGTACAACAACGGACCTAAAAACACAAAAACAGTTTGAGCTTTACTAGCTTTTGATTTATCAAAAAGAAAGCTGCTTGACTTCCTGTGTTTCACTTTAAGGGGGCGGCAAATTTTAAAAATATCAACATTTTGTTTGAGGCCCTGAAACACTAAACCAATAAGAAAACAATAGAAAACCCACATTTTAAGTTGTACATTTTAAACACCATCTCATTGCCACGAAAGGGGGTTGGTCCATGGACCCCCTGAATGTTGCAAAACTGAAATGTCTCACTCACCTAAGTTAATCCAGTATCCCCCTGGTTTCAGTATATTAAAGATGTGTTCGATGTACTCAATGACATTGTGTGCCGTATCTATGAAGAAACATGTAGCAACACAATCCCAATGATCTGAAATAAAAACAAAGCAAAAAATGGGATATGGAATTGAAGTAATATTTCAAAGCCGACAATGAGGACTGGACGGGATTTCAAGTCTAAGCAATTAGTTCCAGTTCGAGGCGCAGCCGATATTGGAGGCTTTGAAATGACTTCTCATGCTCATTATTATTCAACTTGGAGTAACTGGAACAAAATTAATTCAGTTCTAGGACTGAATTAATTTTTTTCCAGTTACTACAGACTGAATTTAGTCCTTTTACATGACTTAACCAGGTTTCAAGTAACATCATGTGGCCCAAAAATAGCCCATTGATCGGCTGGTTTCCTCATAAATCATTAATGAGTATGAGAAAAATATCAAAAAAACATCTATTTGAGAATTATTAGTGATTACTAGTTGGGACTGTGTGGGTATCTTGTCAAATAGGCCTCTTTATTTAGGGTGTAATGTGTTCCCATATCAGACCATCTGTCATTCTCTTGAGAATCAGATTTTTTGTTTGAGTTGTATCCATATTTATTTGTCTTCTCATGCACAACCATTAAAGAAATAATTTACTCTAGGGAATAACACGTGGTCTACGGGAAAACATTACCCTGTAAAAACAAGTTTGTGATGACGTTTAAGAAGTTAGTTCTTCTTTACAGTAAAAAGGAGTGATGAAAATAGGTAAATTCTTAACTTTAATAAGAAAGAAAAGTCATGAAGCTCTGGTAGTGGTGGTAAATTGATGCCATCATTCAAATGGTATACTTTCATAGAACAAAGACGACTGTAAAGATAGAGCCAAAAATCCATGGAAATTTCTACACAATTGAGAGGATAACTGGGCAGAAGTTCAAGTTCAAATTACCCTTCTCTGTATACACTTCTAGAAAGTTCCCCGCAGCCATAGAGAATTGGGTACCAGGCTTGATATCACGGGGGTCTATATCTGGTATTCTGATTGGACGAACTTGATCAGCCGATGTTCGTACATTGCACCACTGAGCAACATAGGGGTGGATAACTGAGTCGTGAATCCCTGCCGACCTGAATCAAGGACAAAAAAGTTTTAAAATTAACAATAATTCATCTGTGAAAAAACCAATCCCATTATCCCTCACACACTGTTGGTGGGTGGCTAGACAAGAATCTTTTTTTTGTTTGCAAAATGTTTTCAAATAATATTTTAAAAATTTCTTTGATATTTCACAAAATTTCTCAATAAAATTACTAGTTATAGATATTAGAATGAAAATTGATGGATAAAAGCTGCAAATTCGGGTTAAAAAACGTCTTTCGATCCGGACAATCCACTTTGTCAAAGTCCAGTCCAGCCATGCTCGGTTCCCGATTTTCCAAATTTAAAAAACTCTCATAATTCAGAAATTAGAAGCCCAAATCAAATTCTAGAGGTTGTGTATATTTTTCCTATACATTAAGATAATTCATACCCTTAAAAAAGCTGGAAATTCAGAAAACAAAAAATTTACCTGTTGAGGACATAATGTGATGCAAACAGCATATATAAACTCCACTCGTTGCCTTGACAATGATAACCTAATTATGATGGTAATGATTAATATT